GGTCTGACTGTGGAGTCAGCTCAGATTTAATTCAATTCAGTCTGACTGTGGAGTCAGTTCAGATTTAATTCAATTCGGTCTGACTGTGGAGTCAGCTCAGATTTAATTCAATTCGGTCTGACTGTGGAGTCAGTTCAGATTCACCCCAGTGGGATGAGCAGCTCTGCTGTGGGACCAGAGCAGGAGGGGACTCTGGATTCTCCCTGAGCTCTCAGCCCTGGTCCATGGCTCAGCGTGGAGGGGAAAGGGTCTCCTTGTGTGAGCCTGGCCCTGCTGGTTTGGGACTCACCTTCTATTTTTTTTAGTGTAGTTTTAATGTAATACATACACCATAAAATAATACATCAAGCCTTCTGACCACGGAGCCAACATTCTCGTCTCTTCCGTCCCCTGACAACCCCTGTGAGCGCTGTCACAAAGTGCAGCAGGAGGAGGAGCAGCAGAGGTGCTCACCCAGGCATTGACAGAGTGTGAAACAGCTCGGGGGGCCAGGAGAGCCCCAGGCACGGGCAGGCACTGAGGGCAGAGGGAAGCAGGAGCTGCCAGGCTCAGGGAACAGGAAAGGAGCTGATCCATGGAACGGAACCAGCTCCCAGCAGGACAAGCTCCGGGCCTGTCTGCAGCCAAGCAGAGCAGCCTGGAATGCACTGCTGAGCAGGGAGGGATCTGCCACCAGGTCCTGCCACGGGGCTGGCAAGGCCCATACCTGGCACCAGCAGGGCCTTTTAGCCTTGGCAAGTGCACCAACAGCCTGTTCCTGAGGGAGTGGTGCTGGCTGTGCCCTGCTGCCCTCTCACAGCGCTCCAAATTCTGCCTGGAAAGGAGATTCCCCTCTCACAGGCTGCTCCCACTGTCATGCTGGATCCCAGAGGAGACTCTGCTCTCTGGGGATCTGAACATGAAGAGTCTGACTCTAATTCGGGCCCTCTGGCTACCCCACAAACAGTACAGACTGTGCAAGAGTGACACATTCTTACAGAAATCATTCTAAATAAATGTGTACACACACACATAACACCTCCCCAGGGGCTCTGGTTCCAGCCAGTTCTGCCATTCTTCAGGAGCAGAACAAATAATTCATTTGTTGATTAACTGAAGCAGAACCTGTGCTTCAGTTAATCAACAAATTAATTATTTGCCCCTGTTTAATTGCCCTAACCCTGCTGCAGACTCACCTGGCTCACCTGCAATCCTCACCTGAACTAGAAGCTGTTCCTCAGAGTGACACTGGCATTTCATATTTACCCCAGTGGCCACATCCCCACGTGTCACCTGCTCCCCTCTGGGCTGCTGTCAGACAAGGCTGGTGACCCTGTCTGTATGGCACTCTTTTATATAATACAGTAACATAAAATAATAAATTAGCCTTCTAGGAACATGGAGTGTCATCATGAGGTGACACCCCCATTCCAGGGGAAAATGCAGATCCCAACACAGAGACACTCAAGTGGGATGAGGAAAATGAGTGTCACCTACAAAGGGATTTATGGTAGAACAAGAAAACTCTCACTCTGATGTGGGGACCAACCTGGACATTCAGACTTTGGGATTGGAGAGCAAGAATGAGTCCCAGGATTTTTTGCTTTGGGTATTAGTTTATTCTCAAAGCCAGGGATGCAGTCTTGTCTGTCAGTGACATTGAACACAGGGTCTGTGCAAACCCTTCCAAGGGGAAAGGCACCCAAAGCAACCAGCCCAGACTGTGCTGACCTTATTCCCTGCATGGGCACTGCCCTCACCTGCCTGAGGCCAGAGCCCCTGGTGGATAAATTGTGGACCTTGTGCTTTATTTCACTTTTAAAACTGTCTGCACACAAGAACGGTGGGGTTTGGCTGATGTGAGGGGAAGGCAGCCACAGTAACTGAGATGATTTGTCTGCAGCAGAATTCCACAAGCTCTCCCTGGTGCCAGGCACAGCAGGCAGGGCTGGGGCACCTCTGCCACCTCAGGATATCAGACCCACCCTCACTTGGAGGGATGCCTGTATTTATTATTCCTGTTTCAGGAACATGGAAGCGTCAGAGGAGGCCTTGGCAGTGCTGGGGAATGCCTGGGCTCCATGACCTGAAGGCCTTTGCCAGCTTTAACAATTCCATGGCTCTGTGAGCTCCCTGCCCTGTGCAGGTCTCAGTGCAGCTGCACACAGAGCTGAGGGCCCTGCCCAGCCCCGCTGCACAGAAATGCTGCCTGGGTGAGTTTCTGCCTCACTGCTGGGCCCTGATCCTGCCCCGGGCTCAGGCTGCTCCTGGGATGTTCCTGCTGAGGGGTGGCTGGGATGCACCACGGAAACCCAGCTGGGAGAGAGGAGAGAGGGGAGAGGGGAGAGCTCCCACAGGGCACACACAGCTCATCTCCAGCAGGGGACCTGTGCCAAACAGCACCCTGCATCCTCAGCACCCAGGCTGCAAAATACACCTGCACCCAGGCAGCACCATGCACCCATCTCCATGCAGTGCAATGCACCAGTCCCCATGCACCCCAATGCTCCCAGGCAGCACAATGCACCAGTCCCCATGCAGCACAATGCACCCATGCCACACCATGCACCCATGCAGCACCATGCACCAGCTCCCATGCAGCACAATGCACAGTGCACCCATGCCACACCATGCACCCGTGCAGCACAATGCACCAGCCCCCATGCTGCGCAATGCACCCATGCTGCGCAATGCACCCACTCCCATGCAGCACAATGCACCCGTGCATCACCACGCACCAGCTCCCAGGCAGTACAAGACACCAAATGCGGCACAAAGCACCCATGCAGCATAATGCACTGACTCCCATGCAGCACCATGCACCCAGGCAGCACAATGCACCCCGTCCCCACGCAGCACAATGCACCCATGCAGCACCATGCACTGGCACCCATACAGCAATCCCTTCACTCTCACCCCCTGGCATGCCAGGTGCAGGACCTACTCTAGAACAGTTCTGACCTAATTAGCAAAGCCACTCCTCACAATTAACCCCTCATTATCAGCAGTTAATGCAGACAGACCAGAGCAGGAGCTGGGACACCCCAGAAACGGCTCCTCCTCGCAGGGCCAGAGCCCTCAGCCTGGCTGGGATTCTCTCTCTGCCGAGGTTCTCCTGCTCCCCTGGGTGCCACCAGGCCTTTGCCACCTTCTCTGCCAGGGCCGGGCTCTTCTCTGCCCAGGAGCTCCTGGAGCTCATCAAAGAAAGCAGACTCCTCACACTGATGGTGTCCTGGGTGGATTTCTGCAGCCTGGAGGGAACAGTCACTGCAGAGCCCTCAAACACCGGCACTCAGGAGTGCAGACACTCCCACAAACCCACAGCTACCAAAACCCTCCTGCTCTGCAGCCTCAGCTGCTCTGAGCACTGACAGGGAGCTGCTCCAAGCCCTGACCCAGGGAGCTGAGCTGGTGACCCCAATCAGATCTCCTCCTCTCCAGGAAATCCTGAATTTCAGAAGGGAAGAAGCACGATTTGATCCCTCCCCAAACTCAACACTCTGTGGGTGAACATTGACACTGCAGCAGTTTCCTGCATTTGCTGCCTGGGAGAGCTGAATGAGGAGCCTGAGACACCCAGGGAGACATTCCTGAGGTGACACAGTGACACAGTGGGACCCTGGCCTGGCTTTGCTGGGTGCAGCATCCAGGTGCAGAAATGCCACTGGAAAGCTGCTCCTGGCAAAGCTGGAGCCAAAACACAGAGCTTGCAATCTTGCAAGTAGCAAGATCTATCCAGATACCTCTGTCTTTGATATCTTTCATATCAAAGACAGAGAAATGTAGGAACCACTTGGCTGGGCCTTGTAGGAGCTTCATGATCTATCGGAACAGGAGACCTGAGAATAAAAGTGTCCCTGAAAGGTACAAGGATCCTGTGGAGCAGTGAAAACCCAGCAAGCAATGCCCCCACTGCTGCTCACAAGCACCAAGGGTTCCAGCCAGGAGAAGCCACCCCAGAGCTTCTCCATGTGTGAAAATCCTCCCTTTGAGGTTTTTAACTGAGATGTGCAAGCAGCCCTGGCACCACCACAAATCAAAGGAAAACCTGTGTCTGTGCCCTCACAGTGGAGCTTTCCTACAAGCAGGGAGCAAATCATCACAAGGGGTTTATTTTACCCAAAACAGACAAGAGAATTGAACCGTGCAGGACACAGTCTGTACATGCACATGTGTGCGTGCTCTGGGGACAAGGGTTTGCTCAGCCCCACAGTGCCCTGCTGGAGATGATTCTGAGCCCGTGTGACACTCCTGGAGTAAAATTATATCCACCTGCAAACCAGGGATCCAATTAGGCTCCATAAGGAGAGTGGGGAATCCACTCCCACACGGGCGTGCCAAGGGTGAAACACAAGAGTGCAGCTCCAGGCAGAACAGGACAGGCAGGTGTGCAAGCAAAGATCAGCTTTCCTTCTCCCCATTTTTAATTCATGGCTCTGGAGGCCACTGCCAGGTGCTTGAGGGTTACCTTCATCTCATTTATTGCTTCACTTCACTCATTCAATTAGTTCTTACTTATTAAACCAGATGCAGACACCTCATCCCTGTTGTTTCTTTTGATTATTTCTTTTGTTCCACAAAAGGAGATGACAAAACCAATAAAGTCTAAATTTAAAAGAGCTTCTGGGTGGGCCCAGAAGGGAGAATGCTGCCAAGAACCCCTGTGCCCAGCCCTGTGTCCCTGTCCTATCTTCTGCAAAAATCCACTTGCCCAGGATTTCTCTCCTGGGAAGCTGAGAAGCCTCAGAGAAAAAGCAAAACAACATTATCTCCTTTGCTTCTGCTGAGTTTTGCTGCTTTGCAATGTGGTTTGGGGATTGTTTATCCAACAGGTGGTTGGTTGATTGGTTTAATGTGAATTGTTTTAACTTAATGACCAATCACAGCCAGCTGTGTCGGGACTCTGGAGAGTCATGAGTTTTCATTCGTATCTTGTCAAGCCATCTGTAAATATCCATTCTCTATTCTTTAGAGAGTATAGTATTATATACTATAATATAGTATATATTATATGCTATAATAATTTTAGTATAGTTTTAGTATAATATAGTATAATAATATACTAATGTATAATAATAAATATAGTATACTAATGTAGTGTAATGTAGTATAGTATGATATAGCATGGTACAGCATGATAGGATATGATATATCCTTATATATCCTAATATAACTAATATATATCATAATATAATATATCCTAATATAACAAAATATATAATATTATAACATAATATCTCGTAACATAATATGCCATAACATATATCATAACATAACATATTAACATAATACACTGATAGTATATAATATATTATATACTATAATAGTTTTAGTATAGTATAATATAGTATAATAATAAAGTATAATAATAAATATAGTATAATAATATAGTATAGTACAATATAGTATAATAATAAAGTATTCTAATGTAGTATAATGTAGTATAGTATGATATAGTATTGTATGATATTATAGGATATGATATGATATATCCTCATATATCCTTATATATCATAATATAACACAATGTAATGTAATATAACATATCTCATATTGTAACAAAGTATATAATATTATAGCATATCTCAGATTATAAGAAAATATACAATATTATAACATAGTATCTCATCTCATAATAACATAATATATAATATTGTAACATCTCATATTATAACATAATATGCCATAACAAATATCATAACGTAACATATTAATATAATATAATATAATATAATATAATATAATATAATATAATATAATATAAACTATAATAGTTTTAGTATAGTTTTAGTATAGTATAATATAGTATAATAATATAGTATAGTATAATATAGCATAATAATAAAGTATTCTAATGTAGTATAGTATGATATAGTATGGTATGATATAGGATATGATATATATAAGGATATATCATATATCATAATGTAATATAATCATAATGTAATATAATGTAATGTAAGATAACATATCTCATATTGTAACAAAGTATATAATATTATAGCATATCTCAGATTATAACAAAATATACAATATTATAACACAGTATCTCATCTCATAATAACATAATATATAATATTGTAACATCTCATATTATAACATAATATGCCACAACATATATCATAACATATTGACATGATATATTATTTGATATATGATATTATGCGATATGTGATATTAGATAATGATGAGATAATATAATACATCACAACGTATCCTAATATATTGCAATATACTAAATTAGCCTCTGGCCACGGGGACAGGGCAGCCCCCCGTGCCCCCGGGGCAGCACTCACCAGCAGGCCAGGATGCAGAGCGCAGTGAAGAGGATGATGGGGATGGGGTAGGAGGCACAGAGCAGCCCGTGGCTGTAGAACGCCCGCGAAATCCTCTCGCGCAGCCTCTCAGTCAGGGTCATCCTCACCTGCGGGCCATCCCGGGCACAGCAGCGTGGGCAGCCCTGCTCGGAGGCACTGCCTCCACCTGGGGGCACGCGGGGAGAAACAAGGGAAAGCAGCGTGAGCAGCTTGTTTTGGAAAGGCTGTCAGTGTGCAGGATGGAATCCTTCCTGAATTGAGGCTCTGAGTCCCTGGCACAGGTGCCCAGAGAGCTGTGGCTGCCCCTGGATTCTCACCAGTGCCCAAGGCCAGGCTGGACAGGGTTTGGAGCACCCTGGGATCAGAGAAGCTGCCTCTGCCATGGCAGGGGTGGGCACTGGACAGGCTCTGAGGTCCTTTGCAGCACAAACCACTCTGGGATTTATTTACTGATGCTGTAAAATGACCGAGCAGATCTCACCCTCACTGTCAGGGCTGGACCACCCCTGTTCCAGGACGAACTCAAGAACAACATGGATATGCTGTTCCTGCAGCAATAAATACATCACAAGTGGCTCTCTGAGCAGCCTGAGCTGCTAAAAGGTGCTCTGAGGAGGAGCACAGCACTGGCAACAATTCCTGGTACCTTCAAGGAGGAAAACTTTCTATTTGCTCTCTTCACCTGCTGTCCAACAGCAGCATTCTGTAAGAAAACACTGAGCATTCCAAAGCCAGTATTTCTTTATCACTTGGGGGGATTGCACATTAAAATCTGCCATCTCTATTTGCTTTATGCTGTGACAGAGCTCCTAGGAGTGAACAGCAGGAATTGTTCCTGCTCCAAGTCATTTCTGCAAACACAGATTGCCCAAGCCAAAATAAACCTGTGGACTGCAGGACAAACGTTAAAGGAGAATTTCCTGCCTCTTGCATGACTGCAAACCCAAGACAGAGTTTGCCTGGAAGCACGAGGGCAGCGGGATGTGCCCACCTTGCAGCCCACAGGTGACATCTCTGGTTTGTTTCAGGTACAAGAGACAGACACACAGCACAGATCCCAGGATCAGTGAGCTTGGAAAAGCCCCCCGAGCTCCCTGAGCCCACCCTGTGCCCCATGGCCACCTCGTCCCCAGCCCAGAGCACTGAGTGCCACCTCCAGGGATGGGCACTCAGCACTGCCCGGGCAGCCCCTGCCAACACTGAACCTCTCTTGAGTGCAGGAATTTCCTCAATTTCCATCCTGAGGCCGTTCCCTCTGCTCCTGTCCCTGTCCCTGGGAGCAAAACCCAATCCCATCTGGCTCCTGTGTCCTGCACTCTCATAAAACAAGGCTGACCAGCAGAAGGAAGAAATGTAGAACTTCCCTTTGCAGGAAAAATCAACTCAAACTCGCTACTTTTCCCCAGACAAAAGCTTTTATCTCACTCAACAATAGTTACATGTTCCAAATTCTTTACATTTCTGCCTGAAAGGCTTTGCAGCCCTCCCAGGAGCCTCCCTGGACACCAAGGGCAGGGAAACACAGCAGAGACGGCTGTGGGCTCAGAGGATAAGCTACCAAAGGTAGGAAAGTTTCCCTTTTCTAACACACAGTCACCTGGGGCTTTAGGCTTTAGCATTAATAAAAACACATAGCTGAGCCAG